CGGCTTTCCACCGAGCAAGCAAGTTTCTTATCGAGCTGGAAAAATTTTGTTTCTCGTACCGAATGTTGCAATCGTGCTGTTTCTACTTTTATTGTTATTGTTATTACTGATATTATTACTGTTATTATTACTATTATTATTATTATGAATATTACTGTTATTATTTTACTGTTACTATTATTATCATATGTTGAATTTCTGTAGAAAAATTAAAAGGGCTGGCTCGTCGATGCTACGTAAATAAAAAATAATTTCTCCATGAAGACCTGCAGTCTGAAATTTCTGTATTTTAGGCTGTCTCTTCTCCGCACATTCGGCATTCTATCAACGTCATTCCGTTTCAAGTTCTTCCGATTTCGCTTGCAAAAGCCGACGAAAAGATCGCGGATCTTTATAAAAACTGGAAACGTCCTCCATCGATTAACCCTTTAGGTACATTTGACAACTATGACAGACTGAGACTCGTCGTGCACTTGTTTTGCCTAAGTCACTCGTCCAAACTCCTAATTACTACATATATATCGTATCGCTGAAATAAATGAATTCTCACAAAAAATCTACCGCCAAAAATATACCAAAAAATTCCGCGGATCAGCAACTTAAATCCGTTCCAAACGCGCGAATTTCTCCGGATAAATCTGCACCCGACCAATTAAACTGTATTTCCCACAAAACGACGTCAACACGGTGAAAGCAACGCAGCGACATCGTCGCATTCTCCTCGCGTCTCCACGGTTCCGCGTATCGTTTATCCATTTTCGTAATAAATGCACGAGATCCGCGGTCTACCGGCGCGGATCCGATCCGAGGAAAAAGAGATCCGCTCGACGGAAGCGGAAGCGGTCGTGCAAAACGGATCGCGCTAAAAGCATGATCGCGGATCCCGACGACGGGGTGTCTGCGACCGACTCAGCCACCGATCCGAGGGTCGGATGCGTCGGATCGAAGGAGGCGACGTCGCGGCGGCGCTCAAACAAAGGCAGAATGTTGTGTTCGGTTCCAAGGAATTTATTGAAAAAGCTTCTCGCACCGCGATACAATATGTTTACCGGAGTGCGTGCGTGTATCGTCGTGTTACCGGTGAACATACGGCGAAAAACCGGATGAGACGCGGGGCCATCGCGAGGCATCGTGACAAGACGGGCCGGGCCGGGCCCGACTCTGCGTTACGCGATCGCGCGGTGCTTTCCATCGCCTCGGAAACACCGAGAAGACGATTTTAAACGAACGATAGATAAATAGCGAGCGACGCTCGTGTCGGGCGTCTACTGGAAGCGGGAGAAGAGCCAGCCGCAATTCGCTTCGAGCCTCGAAGACGCCTCGAAGACACCTCGAATCTCCGCGCGCCCAGCTCAGGGTGTCGGTGTGGTTCGCGATCGCGGAAAGGGGCGCTGGATCGTGGATCCTAAAAAAAGAAAAAAAAAAGAGGTCCGCGTTCGAACGCGGCGCCGAACGCTGGTATTGCTTTCGAGGATTCGCCGACGAGCGAATCGACGCGTCTTTTTCTTCCTCCGGTCTCCCCGCGTCGATCGCGATGTATCTCGAATATCTCTCGTCGGAATCTCCCGCGCGGATCGCCGCGATTCGGCCGCGTTGTGACCGCGCGTGCGGCTCGTCCGAACGTCGTAACGAAAAATGAAAAAGAAACGGAACAAGTAATTGCAATCGAGAAACGTGAAAAAAAAACTAAACGAACAAAGGGGGCGGGGGGCATGATTAAAAAGAACGGCTCGACGCGGATGACCGGAATCGGGGCAAAAACGGATGGACAGAGCAGCGAGACTGTTCTCGAAACGAGCGAAGAAACGACGAAGGCGGTCAAGGATCAACGTGGGGATGATGTCCGGACAAATGTCTAAAAAGATAATTTCCAACCAGCATGCTTCACCTACTGATCATTCTCAACTAATGGGTGGTTAGCGCTCATCAAAATATACTAGCTACGCCAAGTATTACTCTCGACATTCGTAAACTGTGTACAACTAGATGTGTTTGTGTGTGTGTATATGTATGTCTGTATGGCATGTATGTCTATGTCTATCTGTGGTCAGTGTTCTTGCGTAGATGCGTCTGTGTGGCGCGTGTCAGTGTCGCGTGTCTCTCTGTATGTATGTATGTATGTACGTGTATGCATGTGTATGTCTGAATGGTCGTGTACAGGTGTGCGTGTGTTGCGTTATAAAATACATAATCATCGGCAGCGTTGCGTGAAAGGGTATTATCCAGGTGGAGGGGCGGGGAAAACAAGGAGAATCCGTTGGCGAGGGGGCGTGGTCGGAGAAGAGGGTTGGCCGGTGGTGGGTGGTGGTGGTGGTGGTGGTAAGCTGTCAACGATGACGACACGTTCGCGTCGATGCGGGTCATTCGAAAGTCAACCTGGAGCCAAGACCGGGTCGGTTCTCGGTCGCGTTTCTCGACGAACGCTCGCTGTTCGTTTCGTTCGCGGAGAAATCGGCAACCTGGGTCGCGGGAAAGGTTGCGCGGCGTTGCCGGGGGGACGTCGGCCCCGACCCGGACCGGCCCTCGCGATGCCCCGCCTCCTTCTCCGGAGGAAGCTTGTGATTTTCGGTCGAGAGAAGTCGACCCATCGGCCGATGGGTCGGGCGAAGGAAGAATGGGGTGGGGCAACGGGAGCGGGCGGAGCCAAGTAGGCGGGGCAACGAGGCCGGGCGGGCCTTGGGGCCGCCCCCGAGCGCGCAGCCGGTGTTCCAGCTGCCGGAACGGCGCGTCGAGAGCACGCGGAAAATATAAATCGGTTTTGCATCGGCCGCAAGATGTCGTTTAGTCCAATCGTCACGCGTCGTCTTTTTCTGCACGGCTCGCGCTACACTTTGGCGCGCCTGCTCGTTCCTCTTCACTCTCTCGCCCTCGCCTGTGCACGCTCTTTTGCTCTTTCTCTCTTCCTTCATTCCCTCACCTCACTCTCACTCTCTTTCGTACTCTCTATTGCTCTCTTTCTTTCTCTCAATCTCTCTCTCGCTCGCTCGCTCTTTCTCTCTCTCTCTTTCTTTCCGCTTATCGTTTTAAGTATCCTCTTAAGTTTAAGTCATAAATATCACTCGCGAGCTTTGTCTCGTCGTTTAACATTACGGTACACGTTACGTAAGTATATTAAGGTGTATATCACTAAAGAATATTACTTGTCGTTCGGAAAAGAGATGCTTCTCCGGTGGTTTGCCGGCTGCTCGCTGCAGCCGCGAGAGTCCCTCCTACGCGCGGATACGTAATTCTATCACACGCGCGCACAGATTATCGTTATGTTTCTCTCCCTTTCTCCCCTCTTTCTCTCTTTCTTTCTTTCATTTTCGTCGTCTCGCTTCTTACATCGCAAAAACGTTCAACGCAAAAACGTTACAGCTTCGAGTTCCAGTGGATAATATCGCTTATTGCTCGACAGTTCTCGCGCGCGATTCGTCGCGATCCGATCCTCTCGCGATCAGCTTCGTCTCTCTCTCTCTCTCTCTTTCTCTTACGATTGCGCCGATATCCCGGGACCACCGGCGAGGTTGATTGTTAAGATCATAAATAGGAAAACGCGGCTCGAGATAAATAAATAAGAAAACCGCCGAATCGACAGCCCGCGGCGAATGCCGGGCCCTTGCGAATCGAATACGATCTTTCTTCTCGATCTAAAAAATCCGCGAGCATCGAAACACCTCGGAATACAAACGAGTATAAAACATCCCGGAGAGATTGCCTCGACATTGAACGAGCCACGGTCTCGGCATTCGCCCGAGCAAGGGCCGCGCGATCGATCGATCGCGGGCGCGCTCGCCGCTCGTCGAGAGGTCCGACTGACGTCGACGTCTTCCAAAGAAACGTAAAAAAACCAGCGAAACAAAAAACAGGAGCAACGTGAACGTGATTTCAACGTGATTCGTTGAAAAAAAAGAAACGCTTGGATCCTCGAGAGCGCGAGGGCGTTCTTCGATCGGCACGGGATCGCCGGCTGCTCGCGGGAGATCGAAGCCGGATGTTCGTCGATCGGTCGATCGATCGAGAGAGGATCGTCGATCCGAGAGGATCCGACCGCGGACCCGAACACGTATAAATTAAGTATCGATTCTTCGTTTTCTCATCGAAACGCCACTTAACGGTCTAAACTTAACGCCTGCTTGAAACTTACGTACTAGGATTCGCGTGTGTGTTATTAACCTACGCTGAGCTAATCTCTCTCGCTCTCTCTCTCTCTCTCTCTCTCTCTCTCTCTCTCTCTCTCTCTCTCTCTCTCTCTCTCTCTCTCTCTCTCTCTCTCTCTCTCTCTCTCTCTCTCTCTCTCTCTCTCTCTCTCTCTCTCGCTCGCTCGCTCTTGGTTTCTCCTCCGTTTTGTTTAATCGTTAATATCGTGATCGCAGTTTTTGCAGTCGCGGTCGCGGCCCTCGTGAACACCGCGACCTCAAACTATACATATACAATAATGTGTATATATCTAAGAAACTTGAGTATCGTTCCTCGAAAAAAACGCGTCCGCGTCGCACACCGTGTGTTCTCGAATCGCGTGGCGGCCCCTCGCGTCCGCCGACTAACGCCGTTCGCGTGTAGTCGACGGCTACCGTGAAACGCGCTCGCGCGATGGAGTAAATATTGTCTTCCATTACTCGGAGAAAAATATATGTATACCTATACATAGCTATCCCTATTTAGACGCGTTCCCTGTGTACGCCGCTCCTTTCCTACAAGCGGAGCGTGTCGCGTGCCGGTCCGCGCGCGCGCGCGCGACCCCAACGCCGCCGCCGCCATGTTTCCGTGTGTCCTCTCCCGCACCTGTTGCGGCCGCCGCCGATTAGGCGATTCGCCGCGACGGCCCTCCGAGGCGGCGATCGATCGCACCGTATCGCCGACGATTCTCCATCGAATCGTTCGCTGAAATTCGCCTTCGATTCCGCTCGAGAATTCCATCGAGCCGGCGTTGCCAGTGTTGCCGCTCGTCGCGCCGGCTGAAACGTGACGTCACCCAGGCGATAGGATCGCGTTACAGGGTTTCCATTTGCCTCGTAACGCGATCCGAGCACGCCGGTGACGTCGCCTTTCAGCCAGCGACCCGGCAACGCCGCAGTTGCGCTGTTGCCAAAGACGTCGGGCTGCGCCCTGCGCGCCGCGCGACCAGCGTGCATTTACTATAGCGTGAAACCACACACTGTGTACGTACCACCGAGGAACCTAGCCTTAACGACTGCCGCGGATCCGAACCCGAAAGCGTCGCCCCGTTAAGGTTAGGCGTCCGCAGACTGAGCATAAAAGTTGCCGCTACGCTCGTCGCGTGGCCCGCGGAGGACTGAACCTATGAATCGCCGTCGTCGACGAGGATCGCGTTGCCTCGGAGAACCGTCGGACCCGCGGAGGATCGCGCGGACGGCCGGAAGCACGCCGATGAACGGGCCCGATTTTCAGCGGAGTCGCGCGTGGTACCCGTGGATTTCCGGCGACGTTCCCTCCAGCGGTTTCGTTTGGCACTTTCACCGAGGCGGAGAGGAATTAGCGACCAACGGGAGAACTGCCTCGTGTTCGGAACAGGAAGAGAGGATGCGCGGGCGTTTCAGGCGTCGCCGACCCGACCCGACCAGACCAGACCCGACCCGACGCGACCCGACACCTTTCTTGGAACCGTATCGCGCGGAAAGGTCCCGGGAAGTTCGATCGATCCAGATTGATTTTTTTTCTCGGGCCAGATGATTCGCGATGGGAAGATGATTCGAAGTGGCTAGCCCGCGGGAGTTGGGGTCGCGTGTCGGCGGAGGCGTGACCCGTTCACCGGCGTGCTTGTTGTTGTTGAGAAAACGCGGAACGGGATCGCGCGACGCTGCGTCCTCGGCTTTCTTTCTTTCTCTCTCTCTCTCTCTCTCTCTCTCTCTTGCTTGCTTGCTTTCTCTCTGTTTCTACCTCCCCTGTTTTATTGCTTCGTGGTCGAGATCCTTGAGAGTGGGGGGCGGTCGCGGTTTCACGCGGCCGCCGGTATATATCGCTTAATTAATTAGTTTAAGTAAGTGTGTAATTAAGTAAGTAAGTAAGCAGTTTTTTCGTCGTCGTGTTACGAACGGGCGCGGCGAAAGGCCGGCGGGAATCACCGCTGTACGCGATGTGTCTCGTGTGTTGTATGTTTTTACGTATGTACGTATGTATGTGTGTGTATGTATGTCCGTGCTCTCGTGTGAGTGTGTGAACGTTGACGGGGAGCATGCTAACGCTAACTATATAGGAACCGAGTGCGGCGGAAAAAACGCGAAACGCAATCAACTCGCGGGTCAAACGGACGCGCGCTCTCGTTTTCTCATTCTCTCTCTCTCTCTCTCTCTCTCTCGCTATCTTGCACACATGCGCGCGCGCTCACGCACTTTCTGTCTCTGTTGTGTACACACGCACGCATTCCACACGCAGTCTCGTTCGCTCGCGGTCGCCTCGACGAAATCTCAGATTCTCTCGCTAATAAATTAATTGACAAGCGATAATAACATGACGATTAAGAGTTAAACGCAAGAAAAGAATGACTTCGGTGTGTGTGTCCCGTCCCGGCCGGAAACAGTCCTCGCTCGCGTGTGCCGGGTGCCGTCGGTCTACTTAACAAGACTACTCTGATCCTGTCCGAGCTCGCGGCGCTTCCGTTATAGTTCCCGGGCGCGTCCTCCTCGTCCCTCCGTGGCCCGAAAGACCTTTGCCTTTGTCCCGCCGTTGGTCCGGAAGCGGAGAGTTCACCGGAGAAATGTATATATGTGTGCGCGCGCGCGTGCGTGTGTGTCTCGTGAAACGTGTGACAGTCGAACATGGAAGCTCGGAATAGAAAATAAAGTGACCCGGAGGGGGAAGGTGTTCGCGCAGGGGCGCAGGTTGTCGTAGGAAGAAGATGACCGTAGTTTAATCCGGTATCCGTGTATGTGTGTGTGTGTGTGCCGCTTCTGGCAGCTAAGGGGAGTGGAGCAAGGCGAACGGAAGCGTGCGCGCCGATCTAATCTCTCGTGATGGAAAGGTAACGCGAATTACACAGATCTCTCTCTGTGTGTGAATATGTATCAGTATCAGTATCAGTATCAGTATCAGTGTGTTAGTGTGTGTGTATATGTGTGTGTGTGCGACGCCGGGCATCGACAGCGCGCGCGTTCGGATCAGAGAGTTCAGAGTGTGTTCGGTGTTCCGACGTTAGTTTTTTACACGTACATGCCCATCCCGTACATGGAGCCCCAGTCGACGCCCTGGAAGCTGGACATGTCGACGTTGGTCAGCGAGTATCCTTGGTAGGGGTTTGCCGGCGCGGCTGCGGCGGCCGCGGCGGCGGCTGGTGTGGCTGCCGCTGCGGCTGCGGCCGCGGCCGCGGCTGCGGGCGGTGCCGGTGCGGGAGCGGGGGCGGCCGCTGCCGCAGCCGCGGCCACCGCCGCCGCCGGGATCGGGTACGGCGCGTACCGGTACGCGGAGAGCGCGGGGTAGCTGCTCGCGAACAGCTTCCCGTATCCGGCCACGGCGTTTTGCACCTGCGCGGCTGCGGCCGCGGCCGCGGCCGCCTGTACCTGCGCCTGTGCCTGCGCGGCCACGATCTGGGAGGCCGCGGCCACCGGGAGCGGCGGCTGGGGTGCCAGCCGGACGCCCAGAGCTCCGAGTACCACCCTCTTGCCGAGCGCGAGCGCGCCCGGCTGCACAGCCTCCTTCGGCTGCGCCTTCTTGCACTCGACCTTCTTGTTCTTGATCGTGTGGAAGTGGATCTCGCAGACCCGGTCCACCACGTCCTCGTTCTCGAACGTAACGAACCCGAAGCCCCTGTGCCGCTTCGTCTGCTGGTCCATCAGCATCACCGTCTCCTCGACCTTCCCGAACTGGTTGAAGTAGGCCTTCACTTCGTCGCTGCTCGTGTCCTGGCTGACGCCGCCTACGAAGATCTTCTTGGTGCGGTTCGCCTGTTTCGCGCGGTTCTTCGGCGTCGCGTGCTTCGGGTCGATCTTCTTGCCGTCCAGCGTGTGGATTGGACACTTCAGCACCTTGTCCACGCTACCCGGCTCGGCGAACGTGATGAAGCCGAACCCGCGACTACGCTGTAACCGAACAAGCCAGAACGGCCACGATGCACAACGACCGTCTCTCTCATCTTTCCCCGTTTTTGCTTTTCATTTTGCTTTTGCCTCGATCTTTTTCTTTTCCTCGCCATTTTCTCGACCGGTTCTTTCCTGCCTGCCTGCCTGCCTGCCTCGTTTTGCTTTGCTTTGCCTTGCTTTCTGCGTTTCTTTCGCTGCCCTGACCGACAACCTAAAAGCCTACCTATATATGCTCGATAAGAGAGTTCGTGGATGTGTACGTGTATGTGTGTGTGTCTAGCTTGACTCGCTCTCTCTCTGTGCTGCCGTTTTTCCGCGTGCGGTTCAAGAGGTCGCGGCACACCGGTCAGTCAACCTCTCCGCTGTCGCGCAGCCTCACGCTCTCTCTCTCTCTCTTTCTTTCTCTCTCTCTCTCGCGCTCTCTCTCGCTCTTTCCCTTTCCCTAGGAGAGAGAGCCCTTTCTCGGTGATCGTCGCGCGCCGCGACAGCGAACAAGCCGACCGTCGGCCACGGTTTTTCGCGCGGATGTCCGACCAGCGCACGGTCCTCTCTTTTTCTCAGGCGATATTCTCGCGTTGTAACCTCGTCCGAATCGTCACGTGCGTCTCGGGACTGTCTATAAAACCGTGTGTCTCGTTGTCTCGTATACGCGCGATCTTTCTCTCTCTCTCTCGCTCTCCTCTGCACGTCGAGTAATGGTATATAATATACCGGTGGTATATAAATATATAGATATCTCTTCTCTTATATACAAATTAACTAAATACTACCAAACTACCGTTTACATGCAAGACTGTCCAAGCCAATGTAAGACAAACATTCTAGGATTACGTGAGACAAGGACTTCGAATTAATATCGTATATATAGATATATAGACATATACATATGTATGCGTATACATATATACGAAGAATGACCAAGAAGAATTGCTCGACCGAGAATTGTGCATTCGATCGTTGATCGTGTTCATCTACCGGATATATATATGCACCCATGCGCGATGTAATAGTATGGATGTAATAGTACAAATGTGTAATGGTATGTATATGTATATATACAGATATAGATACATGTATATGTATATATGTATATACAGATATGTAGATACATGTATATATGTATGTATATATGTATATACATGATGGTTACGTATATATATGTATATATAGATATGTATATGCCCATAGTCCTCGTTCAGCGACTTCTCTAGAAATCCCGGGCGTGTCTATATGTGTGAGTGAGAACGTTACACAACAAAGTTGTCATATATTTTTGTTTGTTTAGAAACGAGCCTCTGCCTCTTTTCCACCTTTTACGTATTTGTAAATACAAGTAAATGTTTTAATTACAGTAATAGTACCAAGATACACTTTCTACATCCTTTACACTGTCTCAGCAAATAATTAGTTACATCGATTAGTTACAACTTCTTCTCTACGGTTCTACTGTGTGAAGTCTCGTGCAAAAGTGGAAGGAAGAAACTGGTGCATCGAATCTCCTCGAGGCGAATTCAACTCCCGCGTGTCCGCGCGTTCTTTTTTTTTTTTGATCGTTCTTTCGTTTTATTTTCTTTTCTTTTACTTTTTTTTACTTTATTTATTTTTTTTTGCTTTCTCTCTTTGTTCCCCTCTCTTTCGATTATACCCCCACCCCCGACAAAACCGAAGAGCTTTTCGGCTCGGCCGACAGCGTCGATATTTTTTCTTTATTTTCTATTTTTTTTTTTTGTTTTTATTGACGGAAACGATTTGACCTATCGAGGAGGAAATAGACGAGAGAAATTGTTCTTTTTTTTTTTCTTTTCTTTTTTTTTCATTGCGACGGTGGTCGGCTCGCAACATCTTCCTTCATCCCCGTTTCGCATAAATATTGGTCGACTACGCGCGATCCGATCGGACGGACGCGAGCGATCGGGGCCGGCGCCATTTTTAGAGGACAATATTACCCGTGACACCGTTCCAACAAGTTTCAGGTTCTTGATGGCGACATTACAGTTAGGAAACTGTGTGCGAGCATATCTCTCCGTTCCCATCTACGGTGGTGCGAATAATTACGGACTCGACGTAAATTTTACGCTTTTGGCGGTATCTGTACGAGAACTCGACGGAATGGCGTATTTATATATCTATATTTTTTACTGTCTCTAGTGTATCTAATATTTCAAATGTATTTTCTAATATTTTTCATTTACTCTTATATTTTATCGGTATTTCATCAATATAACTTAATATCTCTATATTAGAAATATAATTCTATATAATTTAAAATTGCAAATAATTAACAAAACATGTTTGTATACTTTAGAAATAATTGACAAAACATATCTGTGTATTTCTATATTAGAAAGAATTAATAAAACATATCTGTATAATTTCTATATTAGAAAGAATTAACGAAACACATCTGTATATTTCTATAGTAGAAATAATTAGCAAAACATATCTGTATATTTCTATAGTAGAAATAATTAGCAAAACATATCTGTATATTTCTATATTAGAAATAATAGAAGACAGAAATATGCAAATATAATATAAATGTAACAGGTACTTTGAGTCTATAATTAGATTTTATTCAGATTGTCTATCTCCTATTATTTGTAACATAGAAATATACAAATATGACATTTTGTCAAGCTTTCGTTTAAAACACCATCAAAAACGTAAATGTTACTTCGAGTCTATTAATTATGCACTACCCTTCCGCATATAACATACACTGCGTCTCATAAATATAAAACCACCCCCGAAAACTTCCACCTTTTGTACGTACGAGTTAATATAACAATGAACGAGGTATGCCATATTTACACGTTTACTCCGAAACAAAAAGTCGTTAATTTTGCTATAACAAAGTCTGATTAGAGATATACAACAATCGAATATTTAAATCGATTGAAAATAGAAGCGAACCCCCGCATTACTAAATTATTATAATTACTTAATAATTACTCAATTAATTAAGCAATTATTTAATCGTATTTCCCGTTGAATTTTTCCATAACAAAGTGTTCTATTCCGTTGGTTCCGTAGAGTTGCGAAACAAGAATAAATTAATTTTCCAATTTTCCTTCTTTATACCAAATAGAACAATTTTCATAAAAACATCGTTTCCCGCAGCGACATAAAATATGGCAACGTTTCATCATTGCATCGATTGCAACATACAAAAGCTGACAATTTCTCGGTGCATTCAAAATCACGAAACGCAGCGTATTCCATTGAAACAAAGGCCGGACAGCAATTCGCGCATCAGCTCCACAATTTTCCCAAAAAATTTGAAGTCGCCCGTTGCGATTCGCCGAAAGCTCGAGCAGCTGATGGCAGGCAGCACCTCGAACACCGTGCTCCGCGACTCTAAATATTGAAGACGGAGCCGGGGTGCCGACCGAGCACGCCGGATCCGACGATGCACCGTGTAGCAACCATAACCGGAAGCGCGAGGGGGGAAGGAAGCTTGCGAGCCGGCCACCGCTCGAGATGGACGAGCCGAGAGAGCTTCCATCGATTAGAGACCGACCTGTGTGACCGGATCCTTCATGATGAGGACGTCGGTGACAGTGCCAAACATCCCGAAGTACTCCCTGAGCTTCTCGCTGCTGGTCTGCCAGGAGAGGCCGCCGACGAACAGCTTCCCCGGCGCCGGGTCTCCTCCGTTCGGCGTACTCCTGCCGGAGCTGCCAGAGTGGCTACCGTTTATAGGCACCAGGGCATTGTGGAAATCGTGCTCGATCGCACCGTTCGCCGCCTCCATGCCGGCGCTGAAACATAGAACACCAAAGGCGATTATAGGTTGCGCACGCTTCGAGAGACCGATCTTCGATCGATCCGGGCACACCGAGTCGACGCGTTTCGGCCGCCGCGCCGCGTTCGTTCGTTCGTTAAAGGCGGCCCTACGAATAATTGTTGGACCGCGGATTTTACGCGTTCGTGACGGAAGCGGAGTATCTTGAAGACATATCTCAAGAATTTCAGATGTTATTTGTATAATATATTTTCAATTTTTATTATTTATATTGTTTCCAGTGTATTTCTATTTTCTATTATATATATATATTATTTTTAATATATTTCCATTTTCTATTACTTACATTATTTCTAATATATTTCCAATTTGTA